CATGCCGCATGCATACGAAAGCGATCAGCTTGGAAAAATCCAGTCAAACTTTTTCGTTGCTTCTGTCCATTTTACCTTTTATAGTGCGCTTTGAACAAATGCTCTTTTTATTTTATTTTCGACCATGGGACATGCTATGACCACGGATTGAATCCACGTGTAGCATTCCTCTGTGAATGCCTGTTATCGGCTGAGAAATTGATAGAGTGAATACGCCTAACGTCAACGGTCGATCTTTGTTGGGTTAGGCGGCCAGCGATGCACGGAGAGACCGAAATATTCGGGTGATTGAAAATGTTTCCCAACTCTGCATTGCGTTAGGCTGGGTGGCGCTTCACGCATTATTGTCAATCGGTGTAATGATCTTTTATCAGGGATTCCGTAGAGTAGGATTCTCTTCATTTTCATGTGCAATCGCGGAGGGTGTGGTCAAAGCATGCGTTTTACCACACCAAGCTTATTTCTTTTTTCAATTAGGTGTATATTTGTGAAATATTTGATTGCTTATAGCATGTGATCGGTCATGCACGAACACAGACTGTGAGATTGTGTAGTCCAAAAGGGTTATCGACAGACTTCTATACAATCTTGCTCGCTTTTAGTCGACAACAACAGCTGCTGCTGCTGCTTCTGTTATATACATGCAACTGGCCTTGCATTTGTACCGTTGGCATGGCAACAGGGGTCTGTCCCGAGGTAGGTTTTAACTGTTAGCCAGTTTTTCGTCCTGTTTGCTCTGAAATGGCCCGCGTCATGTGTACATCTGTTTATGCTACTGGCAGTGCACTCAGTGACCAAAGTAGTTCATCTACTCCGTGGATTTTGTGCTTTATTGTAACTGTATTACTCTTGCCATTTTTAAGAATCTGATCAGTAACATCACGGAACCGTGTTTCAACAAGATTTCCCATAGGTTTTGAACACTCCTCATGTGCTTTGCTCAATTTCGTTTTGACAAAGGCTAACCCTGCATTTTTATGCGGTGGTTTCGCTTGCAGTCTTTTGGCTGCTCATTTAGATGAAGCGTTGGGAGGAAGAAGTAGGATGCTGGGAGTAATGTTTGAGTGTAGATAGGAATTAATGTAGATTATCTTTGTGAAGCAATTGAACGGATTCGCGAGCAGCTTCGGTTATGGCAATCAACCAGATTCCCAAAGCTCCAACCAGGCCTTTTCCGTGCACGCGATACTTCATCCGTGATGCGTCCGCCGGGTGAGATTTAGCTGCTCAAACAGCGAGATTTTCTGTNGTTATGGTGAGGTTGAGATCTAAACCGACCCTGTCCTGTAGCAGCATTTTATACTATGAATGTGCCAAGCATCAAGGTGCATCACCACTCAAACCATCAAGCAAACGATGCGGCCCACCTTTATATTCACTTGTCGTCTGGGAACGCTGGGTCAGGCTACTTGTGACCTAGACGCGAATGGTTGTCATTATCCTCGTACGAAGACAGCTGTTATCAGGTTGGGCAGAAAAAAAGGACAAGGTAGCCGTGATGAACACCGCTTTCTGTTGT